CCATGTATACACAGCACAGCCAGCCTCCCCATCACATACACTGCTATACCATGTATACACAGCACAGCCAGCCTCCCCATCACACACACTGCTATACCATGTATACACAGCTCAGCCAGCCTCCCCATCACACACTGCTATACCATGTATACACAGCACAGCCAGCCTCCCCATCACACACACTGCTATACCATGTATACACAGCACAGCCAGCCTCCCCATCACACACACTGCTATACCATGTATACACAGCCCAGCACAGCCAGCCTCCCCATCACATACACTGCTATACCATGTATACACAGCACAGCCAGCCTCCCCATCACACACACTGCTATACCATGTATACACAGCTCAGCCAGCCTCCCCATCACACACTGCTATACCATGTATACACAGCACAGCCAGCCTCCCCATCACACACACTGCTATACCATGTATACACAGCACAGCCAGCCTCCCATTCACACACACTGCTATACCATGTATACACAGCACAGCCAGCCTCCCCATCACATACACTGCTATAACTGCTATACCATGTATACACAGCACAGCCAGCCTCCCCATCACACACTGCTATACCATGTATACACAGCACAGCCAGCCTCCCCATCACACACTGCTATGCCATGTATACACAGCACAGCCACCTCATCACACACACTGCTATACCATGTATACACAGCACAGCCAGCCTCCCCATCACACACTGCTATGCCATGTATACACAGCACAGCCACCTCATCACACACTGCACTCTACCAATTAGTTACTCTCTCTCAAACAGTGCTTTGTTATTTCTGTTACTGTTAATCATCAAATTCTAGGAAAAGAATCCATATCACTTTACATGAAGCTCTCATTCTATTGAACGCTCTGCGCCATTTAGACAGCACCACCAAACAGTTACATTGAAACATGTCTTACCAAGCTGGAAGCTCACAAGAAGTACAAATTGGATGATAGTGAAATGCTTCATTCTCTTTTTCTTGTCTCAGTTTGTCTCTCTCTGTCCCCTGATCTCTGTCTATTACATAGCATGAAGCAATAATTCAGGTGGGGCTACTCCCACCTGGTATCCACCTTCTATAAGTGATAAGACTTTAGCTAATGATTTCACACAACCTCCCACGTTCAGTTTCAACAGAGTTTGCAACATCAGAGATTTATTAGTTTCCACAGACCCGGAACACTGTTACGAAGAAAAGAAGAAAAAAAAACTGGTTACACAATAGAACGCTTAACTCTGGCTGTTTTAAATGTACAGGATGTGTAACATGTGGATACATGTTACAAACTAGGACTTTTCTACATCCACACAACAATACAGACCATGTAGTGTATAAAATCACATGCCAGTGCGGACTACACTACATTGGAAAAACTGAGTTAACCTTAAGAGATCGCATAAGAGGGCACCGATCAGCTATCAACACAGCGTACTGTGATGGTTCCACAGAGAAACCAGTAGCAAAACATTTTTTGCAGATGGGACATTCACTGACCATGTTAAAGTTTATTGGCATTGACACAATATCACCACTGTCCAGAGGAGGCGATGGAGCTCATCTGCTCTTACAGCGGGAGACCTTTTGGATAAAGACTCTCAACACTATATCTCCACATGGACTCAATGAATACATCTCCTTTTCATCTTTTTTGCCTACACGTTAATTATGATGATGGTTATTAATTGTTAATTATTATTTTCAATTAGTTTCAGTTATTTAATGTATTACATTATCTAAACTGGTCCTCATTGGAGACCAATTATAGAGATATGAATTCTATTATTTACAATGATAATGATAATGTTACAGTTATATAGGATTTACAGATACGTAATACATGTGTTTCCTAGTCAGTTAGCAGTGATTTATTCTTCTCTTTATAACTATCTATAGCCAATGGCCCGATATTCATAGAACTCATCTCTGTGTGATGGAGTTACTAAGAAATATATTGGGTAGTTAACCATACTATGCTAAAAATGGAGACATTTAATGTTACTATCTATTTTTATATTAAGATTTATTATCCAGTCTCTCTAAGATATCTTCTTCCCTTTAATTAAGTCTAGCCTCCATATCTCATAATAGCGTTTTGTCCATTTTTATAATGGAATACGGGTTATTCCTATTTCTAGGTATGTCTTTTTCACTTTTCACACATACACCTGTCTGGAACTATTTTACAACAATTGTGTTGTTGATGGGTCCCATATATATGGGTGCACTGTTTTGGGAGGGATTAGATAGTTACTCACTTCCTGCAGGCACTTCCAGGGTTCCAGGTTCCAGGTTTCATCTTTCATGGTGATGGGATACACATAGATGGAGTAAGTAAATTAATTAATTAAGTAATCACATGCATTTGGTTTATAAGTGATATTGCACTGATTGTAATTTGTCTTGAGAAAGGAACAGGAGTGGGTCCGAAATGTTGACGCTGTGCAACCAAAAACCTTTTTTACGCTTTCATAACAAAGTCCTGCAAGTGCCTACTCCTTTCCAATATTTGAATGTATTTATAGTTCCACTATCTAAAAATTTTCGTGGTTCTCAGAACAGTGAGTGCTTTTAAACTTCTATTTTACATATATATATATATATATATGATAGATAGAGAAAACATTTTGTTTGTCTACACCCATATCCTTGAGTGGGGATTAAACCACCTCACACGCTGATTTGGAGCCATACTTACAGCTCCTTTACATGTGAGTGTAAATTTTATATTTATACCTACCCTCGCTCCATAGCCCTAATATCCTACACTATATACGATTTGTATCTATTTTATTTCTTTGAAGATGATACCTCCTACAACCACGAACAAAAGAAGAATCAGCAGTACACTTTACCCTTAGGTGGGGATTGTTCTGCCCAGGTGAATAATTTGGAGCTGTATCGAAGCTCCAAAAAAGTGTGAGTGCACATTTTTTATCATATATACAAACTTATGTTTTACATACTACACTATTAATTTCTTCTGTTTTTTTTATTCTTGTTGTTACCTATCCCCAAATAAGGACTATTTAGGCTCTGCGCCTACCTCCTGTGTTACCCTACCTTTTGTGCATAATTCCAAATACAAAAGAGAGAGAAAGTAATTAAATATTTATAATTAAAAAATGGAAATTCTCAAAACACTGGATTGAACACAATTGTTGAGGTAAGTAAACGGAGGGATCTATAATATGTGATCAAATTTGTTCCTTGAGTTAATAATAATTTTGAAAGTTTTTCTTACCATATTGGATCATTCGGAAAGCTTATTTAAGAAACACTATAATGTTAGGAATACAAAACTTTATTCCTAACTCTATAGTGTCCCTTTACCCCCCACCCCACTCACACCCCTGTCCCCCCTCCAGCAAATAAATGGTTAAAGTCCCTTCTTACACTTACTTGATTCCAGCGCCGAGGTCCCTTGGCACTGGGTTAGGACCTCCTCCTCCAAAATTAGCCAAGAGCGAGAACCTAATGCACATGCACAGTGGGCGTTGTGCACACATTAGGCTTTCCTCGTCGAAAAGCATTAAATCAGTGCTTTATTATAGGGTTTTAAAAGACATCCTCCTGTCCTCATTCAGAGCAGGAGGATGTCCACCATCATTTTACGGAGTCAAACTTTGTGAAAAGCCAGGAAGCACCTCTAGGGACTGTCTGGTAATTTCTCTGAAACTGCAATGTTTGCAGCTGTTGGGCTAAAATGGCAAAAACATTGCACCCAAACCACTTCAATGAGATCCCAAAGTGTCCCTTTAAATCCAGGCTTAAGTCTCTAGAAGTAATAAATATTGCCATCTAGTGACCGGTTATATGTATAAAAACACAGAGTGTAGTACCACTGCTCGTCACAGATATCTAGTTATATGGCCATTTTAAGACCTTGCAATGCAATAAAGGTGGATGTCCCATATGAAAGGATTAATTTTATCCGGTATAAGACTATATATAAAACTGCTAAAAGATAGGTACACTAAGAATACAAAACAGACCATGGAGACTGAATAATCAAGCAAAGGGTCTCTGCGATAGCAAGCTAAGTAACCTGAAACAGTTATCTCTTAAAGAAAAGGACACATATGAATGCAATGACATTTTGTAATGTGTCCTTGGTAATATTGCAAAGCAAGGTCATTTTTACTGTATAAAAGGGCTTTTTATTTTTCCACCGTTTGTTTTTTGTTCGTTTTTTGACGATCGGGTCATTTTTATTTTTATTTATGGTGTAAGTTATTATAGATTTTAATTTAGCCTGTTATAAGAAAGACTTTGGATGGAAAATATATTTTTTTACGGCTTTTAGGTTTTTTGCCCCTTTCCTCGCTATTATTAGGGTTGGGGGAGTAGGTTGTGACTTTACTTTAGAGGATTGAGGACCCCTAGCAACCTGAGGGGCTATATATCATAAATTAGGATATCACTCCTCCAGTGGGGGTGTTGGAGAAAGCTGAAAGGAATTATATATTTTTAAAAATAAAATAGAATAAAATGGAATAAAAGGATAGGCTTGGAGGTTCCAATAGCATAAATGGGCCAACTTTATTGGAGACAAAAACATGTAACATAAAACAGCTTTAAAAACACTAATGCGTTTCTCCTGCAAAGAGACTTGATATCCGTTTCTCTTTATCAAGCCTCTTTGCAGGAGAAACGTGTTAGTGTTTTTAAAGCTGTTTTATGTTACATTTTTTTGTCTCCAATAAAGTTGGCCCATTTATGCTATTGGAACCTCCAAGCCTATCCTTTTATTCCATTTTATTCTATTTTATTTTTAAAAATATATAATTCCTTTCAGCTTTCTCCAACACCCCCACTGGAGGAGTGATATCCTTGGTGGGAATCATACCACCTACGCCTACACATTTTATTCTGCATCATCCAGAGAGCACTATTTTGTGTTTCTATCCTCTTTTTTTATATATCACCTACTATTCGAATACTGGTCCACTGCTATTGGAAAGGAGATATGCCCTACTACCTCTGGAGACCCCCTTTTGAGGACATCCAAGGACCATCTACATATCCATAGATGGGGATTATACCGTCCAGGCGCACATATCTGGAGCTGAGTATAAGCTTCAGAAAATTGTAGGTGCAATTCCTTTCCCTTCATTTACTATCCCTTAAGATCATAACATACTACACTATATCCGTGTCTTTTTCTTTCCCTCCTCCATATCGCTCTGAGCGTGGGAATTCCCTCACAGGCGCTGCTCCCTGATCCTACTATTAATAAATATAAGGTTTCCCACCCACCAGCATTGGTGGGGTTCAGAAGAGGGGACAAAAGGTCCCACCCTCAAATTTAAAGTGGCTTCCCCCTAATGGCCAATACTTTTTTATATGTGGCAGCTGGCTACCAAGCCCTGGCCAGCTGCCACATAATCAACCTCTGCACCACTCAAGGTTTAACTATTTGGGTCTGATTTATAAATCTGGACATTGATGAATTCCATTAACAATGTCTGGATTTTACATTCCAAATGGCCCAGTATACAACCGGATGGTTGTGTCCCATTCATTTCAGGCCATTTGGACTTTATTGAATAACCCTGTTCATTTTTTTTACATGTACGGGAAGTGAAGTAACTGTCTGTGGCAAATATTAGTGTTTCAAAACTGTAAAACGTATTAGAACAATAATATCGTCAGTAAAAGTGCCGTTTGTGTGTGAAAAATGCAAAAAACGTCACTTCTACTAAAAATATAATTGTTGTAATACAATTTACCATTTTGAAACACTAATACTTATGTTCAACAAAGTCTCCCGAGTAAAACAGTACCCCCCATGTACAGGTTTTATGGTGTCTTGGAAAGTTACAGGGTTAAATATAGTGCTTGCGAATTAAATTCTCTGCACTTTCTGCCCGGTTGTCAGGCATGTCAATCAAATCTTAATTAATAAAATCACATAATTATGCTAAAAGATAACTTAAATATACATGTAGAATTTTAATATATATATATATATATATATATATATATATATTTATTTATTTAAATTCTACGTGTATACTTATGTATCATTAATGTAATTATATATATATATATATATATATATATATATATATATATATATGCGGTTATTTGTATTTTATATATAGATAGCTATATATATATAGAATGTCATTCTAAGTGTATTTTGTTACCAATATATATATTAATAACAAAATACAGTTAAAATGAAATTACATATGTATATATAATTTATTTTCATTTTGAAAAAAAAATTGTATTCATTTATTTTATTATTTTATTTATTTATTGTAATTATACGTATATATATATATAAATATAATATATATACATATATGTATTATATATATATAATATATATCTTATATATGTAACCTTATTCTAAGTGTATTTTAATACTAATATATGTACTTATATTAATATTAAAATACACTATGTATGACGTTACATATATAGAAGATATATATATTATATATATTTAGGTTCTTGTTGAAGTGCACTCACAGGACCCAATAATATTTCTAATCGTGCTGTTTATTCAAGCATCAAGTAATACAAAGAAGTGTCGACGTTTCAGTCCTTGCTGGACTTTTTTCAAGACAGATTGATGGTGTGAGTCATTTCATTAAATACACACTACTGAAACCTGATTGGAGGGTGAAAAACAGAACCGAGGTTCAATTAAGTTTTAAGTGACTTGTATCATGTGAAAAGAATATCATGGGTGAGGCAATTACCAACCCTCACAGGAGTGAATAGTTAAGTTAGTGGTAATTTTGAGACAAAGTGGATATAAACAATAAATGACATATTTACAACTATTTACATACATTGTATCATCATCTCCACAGCGAAAAAGCCGGGCTTCGATGACCATGAAATAAACAAAGCACTAATATATCGTGCTTCTAAATGTCAATTATGATTATCCATGTATATTGTTACTATCATGGTCACTGATTCCTTCTGCATTAACAACATGCAAGATTATATTAATGATGTATCACAGCATTCATAACATATGTCTACCCTTAATCTATGTATTATAGTTTATAGTTATCACATAACATGTTAGTTGTATGAATGTTGAATCTATCTATATCATTATCAGACATAAGTTGTAGGGTAAATAATTAATATAAGCATATATCAACAGGACACTGATAGCTAGACATGCTAAATACTGAATTAGCAAAAAAGGAAGATCACCTAAACATTGCATTTTTTACAAAGGCTCAAACCTCTCTACTACCCTGAAAGAAATTATTGTATATTCAGTGAATGCGGGACACGTGGAAAGTATTATATATATATATATATATATACACACACACTTAATTAATTTTAAACATGTTTAATTTCTTTTTATACTACCCACCAGCAGGGGGACTGTCTGACAGCCCAGACAGTCCCCCTGCTGGCAGATCCACAGGCAGCTATTGTAGCCATGTGATCGCTCTTCGAGAGCGATCACATGGCCCTCGGGGGCCTGATTTGCCGTGAGAGGGCTGTCTGGGCTGTCAGGCAGTCCTCCCGAAGAGGATCGCAGTGGAGGTAAGTCCACTGGAGCTCTTGTGGTAGAAAGCCGTTATGGCGTTCTATGCCGCCACAGCAGGTTTAAAGCCCATTATAATGGAGAAGGAATAGAACGCCATAACGGCGTTAAGGGGTTAAAGAAGAATCTCTGGCTATAGATATGTAAATGATTGCTGCAAAAACTTCAAGAAAAATTGTAATTGGATTGTAACCGCAGGTGGTTCCCTTATTTACCACTATAATGACTTAAAGCATAGAACTTAGTAGGGCTAACCATACTGATATCTTAGCCATAATTTTATATAGTTAGTAAGAGATCCTCTATTTAACATATATAAATAATTGAGAATACAATATAAAATAAGGATTGTCTTGGAAGCAATAGTTTTGTCTTTTTAGATATTTATTATATAAAAATATAAATATAGACATTTAAAATCCATTATAGCAGAGTTTATAAGATTAAACTAAATGCTTTCAAATATCATTAATAGGTTAACATACCCTTCTGAACATGTCATCATGTCAGCCTCTCTGTCATTTTAAGATGGAGCAACGTCTGTCTGCAAGTCTCTCCTCTGTCCTTTAACATTTAAAAGTACACCTTTTTATACCTTAGGTGTCTCCATTTTAGGGCTACCGTAGTTCATATATGAAAAAGTAACACTTCTTTTACTTTTTAATTTTAGGACCTCCCTTAACTTGGCAAACATACAAGGTCATAACTAAAGGGTGTATACGTCATGGAAATTTTCCTGACTTAGTTCAAGATGGCATCTTAAAGTCTGGACATCTTTATCTACTTAAGGTTACCACAGTATATTACGTACTGAAAGAGTCGTAGCATAGTCTTGAAGCTTGTTTATGCATTATTGTTATTGTAATTCGTTTGGGACAAAAAGGCACAAACATATTATGCACTTAGGTTATTGCTTAAAGAAACAGTTATGAAAAACAATATGTTCCTTTTCTAACACCTTGTCAGTTTGCAATATCTCTTCAAGACAAAGTACACAGTTAAAGAAACACAACATTTCATTCTAAAACTTGTAATATTTGCATTTGCCCATAACACCCTCTCCATTAAACTGTGGGCATTGTAGCTCATTTCTTCCTTAAATTAGTAAACCAAAATTCTCCAACAGTCTTTAGGTTTTTGTGCTCCCAGCATCTTTGATCATTGTTGTAACAGTATAATATCCGTAGTGTGATCTTTGACTGTAAAGGTGGTTGATTAAAATGAGCAAAGCTTTTGTCTAGGAAAGAATTGAAAAGAACACCAGGTGCCAGAGTAAGATATTCTTGGATGGAATCGGATACGAATTGTAATCCAATGTTAAAAGTAGTAATTGTATTTGTAATCCAAAGTCTTTAAAGGCCTGTAGAAGTTTACATTCCTTAGATACATTGCTGGAGGTTGTGTTTGTAGAATACCCAGGTATTTGTTGTAGAATATAGGTTGTAGAGTCCAGCTTTCCAAATATTTGGCTAGAATTGGTTGCAGATATTGAATCAGCATCATCTGTTATCACCGTGGTGATGGCGTTGATATTTGTCTTTGCTTTTTTTATTTTGTTTTTTTCCATGAAACATTATTACACCATTTATGATGTGTATAGGTGGATACTGTTTATGCATTATTGACTCAATGACTCAAGACAAGTGCTGCAGCAACTAAAGAAAGTTAATATAAACAAATCTCCAGGGCCTGACGGTATTCATCCACGAGTACTTAAGGAACCAAGTGTGGAAAGATTCTTTTTTTTTCAGAAATTGGATTGGTGAGATGTGGGTCCTATATGAGAAAATTGTACACCTACATATTCAAGAGTTCATCGAGAAGAACGTGGTTATCAGCAAAAATCAACATGGTTTTATGAAGCATAGGTCATGTCAAACTAACTTAATTGCATTCTACAAAGACGTAAGCAGAAGTATAGATCAGGCTGTTGCAGTGGCTGTTATCTATTTGGATTTTGCCAAGGCATTTGATACAGTTCCACACAAAAGATTAGTGTTTAAACGCAAAAATCATTGTTCTTGGGTAGAACATTGGCTTAAAAAGTAAGAGTTGTCATTAATGGTAAATTTTCAATCTGGACAGAGGTGGCAAGTGGTGTCCCTCGGGGGTCCGTTCTGGTATCCCTTCTATTTAACATGTTTATAAATGATCTTGAAGACTGCATTGAAAGTCATGTTTCAGTATTTGCAGATGACACAAAACTCTGCAAAGTAATACAATGTGAGCAAGATATTACTTTGCTGCAGAGGGATTTAAATAGACTGGGGGACTGGGCACTCAAATGGCAGATGAAATTTGAGTTATGCACTTCGGGGTTAATAATTTACAAGCAACCTATATCCTAAATGGTAGTGAAGTAGGGATAACAACACACAAGAAGGATTTGGGAATTGTTATAGACAACAAACTAAGCCGCAATGTCAGCAGTAAGGTATTGCCATGCATGAAAAAGGGCATTAATTCTTGGGGGGGAAATATAATTTTGCCTCTTTATAAATCACTGGTAAGACCACATCTTGAATATGCTGTACACTTTTGGGCACCTGTTCTAAAGAAGGATATTATGGCACTGGAAAGAGTGCAGAGGCGGGGTACAAAATTAATAAAAGGAATGGAACATATCAGCTATGAAGAAAGGTTAACACATTTAAACTCTTTAGTTTAGAAAAACGTCGCCTGAGAGGGGATATGATAACATTATATGAATATATCTGGGGCCAATACAAACCATTGTGTGGAAATCTATTCACAAACCGGACTTTACATAGGACACAAGGTCATGTGTTTAGACTGGAAGAAAGAAGATTTCGTCTAAGGCAAAGGAAAGGTTTTTTTACTGTAAGAACAATAAGTATGTGGAATTCTCTGTCAGAAGAAGTGGTTTTATCAGAGTCTGTACAGATATTTAAGCAGTAACTAGATGTATCCTTGCAAAAACATAATATTCAATTATATCATTTTTCAACTGCAGGGTAATAGCTCTTTGATCCAAAGATAAATCTGACTGCCATTCTGTAGTCAAGAATGCATTTTTTTTTTCTAGTTTGTTGCAAAATTGGAAGTGCTTCAAACTGGGGGTTTTGCCTTCTTTTGGATCAACAGAAATAAACAGATGTAATGAAGGCTGAACTTGATGGACCCATGTATCTTCTCAGCCTGAGAAACTATGTAACTATGAAGGCCTCAACGATGAGTTTGACCTATTTAGTTTTCTATAATTTTTTACTTGTTTTAGCTAAAATAATCAATATATGTTGTCGCCATGTGAGGGTGCTCTTCTACCAATATATGTATTCAATTAGTGTATTCCCATTTACTATAACTATATAACAGTTAACATGTGCTTTTACCACTAGATGGTGACCTTATACTTTTTTAATGATTGTACTTTTCTTTTTCTTTTTTATTTACTACTTTGTTTTATTAGCTATTTATTAGTATGTTATCTATTTGTCCATTCTATTTGCTATCTATTTATCCCTTTTGTCCATTTAGCTCTATAACAAATGTTTGTTTGTGCCCGATCATGTGGTCATCATTCTAAATTTCTATTTATTTTTTCATTTAATATAGTTTTCTGTTTTCTTAGACACTTCCTATTTAGTAATTTGATAACCTTCCTTTTTAGATTGTTTGTATTAATTAAAATCTGTATAATTTTTGCATCACTAGTCTGTATGACGATCATGTAACTATTTTCTGTCCTGTCTATTCTTGCGTAGCGTCTAGTTTTGTTTTGCCATGTGTTACACAAATGTGGTCTTTTTGCTACAATATTAGTTTATTTTAGTTCATTAGTATTGCTCTCTCCAGTCATGTGATCGACATTTGCATAATAGGTTTATTTTTTTCCCCAATTAGTTTCTATTATAAATCAGTAGACAATCACAATTTTGACATTATTTGTTTTGAGCGCTTTTGTTATTTTTCATTTTTAATGATAATCACATGATCGTGTTTTAGTAGTTTTGCAAAAGATACAGAGTATGAATAAAATGGACAACGTTTTGAATCAAATATAGATTCCGTCTATCGATTTCTATAGAGTTTTTAATAACTTATAATTACTCTCTGCTGGAGAGTAATTGAGGAGGGGAAAACTCATAGAGTTATACTGGTAAAATACTAAAATGTATTAAATTAAACAATAAAAAGTTAAACGTGGACACATTTGCACATTAATGCAGTCCCTTCTGTATGGCGACCTGGCCCACCCTGAGTTGCATCAATATTCAGAATTTTCTGTTGGGATTTCTTCACTACCCAGTTTGTTTGTCATGGTAAGGTCTGTGAGAGTACCAGCAGCTGGCACATTTGTACAAACGCGTTTCGCCAAGTCCGTGGCCTTCTCAATGATACAAAGTTGCTGTAAAGCCATTCTGTATTTAATGGCTCTCTTCTCCTTAGGTTGTCTTCTCCAGCTGTCACCATTAGATGGCTGTAAACTCCCTCCAATAGATTTGTGTTAAAAAAAACTACTTTTATTTACAGTTTTTCTGAACTGCATGGAGCCTACATACTGACATGGAACTTGTGTAATCTTTCTGCTTTTTTGGAAAAAAATGGATTTCCATGGTAACCTGTTTTATATATTTCTACATGTATTGATCCAATTGTTGCGTTTATTGGGTTGGCATGGTAACCCGTGGCTGATTTTATAGCATTTCTGCGATCACCTCAATTTAATATTTTAAGTTCTGCAGTTAGCATCTGACCTATTTAGACTGAATATTTATAGCTGTTGCCTCTACTATTTTTCTGTTTCTAAGATGTTTATAAGGATGTGTCATATCTTAGTCCTTTTCCCTTTAATATTATAATTAGGGCACCCAACTGCCACCAATGGCTAGGTTCCCCTACCTTACATTACAATAGTCCTCACTCATTGACTGCAGAGAGAGGACAGTAGATTATCTTCTCTTTTCTTTTATTAAATAGCCCACATGCACTAGCCATCTGTAAGGGCAGGAGGATAGAAAATGATTTGTCCTTCCCCCATTATTTATTTTAATATTCCTACTAGATGCTACTAGCAGGTGGGACATAGGGAGGTTTAAAACCTCCCTCTTATAATAATATGGGAATCTTGTTGACTCCCATAGGCTTTTTTTTCTTACTATTCAATATGGAGGCTGGCTTGCAACCACTGGCCAAAATTTCCAAAATGTTTTCATCATGGTTAATGTGGTTGATCCTAAAGGGTTTTTTTTCTACTCACTGCTTTTGGATCGGAGCAGAGACACGAGCTAATATGTTGGGTTTCTCTGATGCAGCTTTGTGCATGTTGCCTTGCTGAAAATTGTTTAGATTCTGACTTTACATTTGTCCTTGACCATTTTAATTTTCTTTTTATGTTCCTCCCCCTTTTAGCTTCTTAGGCACTCCTTCATTTATTCGACTGCTAGATGGCCTGAGGACAGGGCATGTGGTCAGAATCTAGGGTTCTCCTTTGATTTGTCAGACAAACTTTTAAAAGCACCACATATTAGCGTTCTTAAGGTTTTAAATTTCCTCCCATCTGTTCTATTAACAAATTTGATGCATATATGGATATTAATAGGTTTTTACGCAGATTATGTCTTAAAAAAAATATTTTCAAAATAAAGAAGATTGAGAATATTCTGAATGAACAAGGTTTAAAACATACAAATTAAAAAGAAATAAATATGAAAGTTTTAATGTCAAAAGATAAATTACACAAGAAATAGAGCAGCACTGGACAACTGAATACAGAGATATGGGGGTGCAGCACATCTGAAGGTAGGGGAATCCCTCAAACTCCTAGGCAAACGTAGACAAATAAAAAACAAAAAAAA